TCAAGTAGCTCCTCAATTATCCTCACGAGGCTGAGTGGACCCCGTTCCAGACCCACTACTTCTCAGAAAATCTGGTAGAGCCGGGAATCGAACCCGGACCTCTGGAGCTGTAGCCAGGAACTCTGACCACTAGACCACAGAGGCCAACTTTAGCGGTTGGAGGGTGTCGCGTGGTCAGCGCAACTAATCCCCGCGGCCGTTAATTTCGGTTTTCTAGACCGGAGTCGCTATTTTTCTATTCAAGTAGCTCCTCAATTATCCTCACGAGGCTGAGTGGACCCCGTTCCAGACCCACTACTTCTCAGAAAATCTGGTAGCGCCGGGAATCGAACCCGGACATCTGTATCTGTAGCCAGGAACTCTGACCACTGGACCACAGAGGCCGTCTCCTACATCTCCCACTTCAGGAAGCAAACTTTGGCCCAGTGGTTCACAACCAGGGAGATACCTCCTCGGGATGGAGGATGAAGTTCCAGGAGGTCCACGATGTTTTGAGAGAAAGAATAAATGTCAAATTCGGCTTAAATGGTTCCTTTTAGCTGCATCTAGCCATGTCTGACGTAAGCACTCATCAGAATTGTTAACCCAGATAAAAAAAATAGAGCGATCACATTTTTCAGTATTTGTTTGCATTATTCGTCATCGGATGAAGAATACCGCGTAGCATTTTTATTTGTAAATATTGAACTGTTTACTCACTATTTTAGTGTGGCAGTAATTAGAGGGTAACTGAATGCAAATCATAATATAACTATATATGTAAAGCGTTACGATACTTCCAATAAATATATTAAATTTTGTTTAAAACGTCGAGCTCGCATTGTACAATTCTACTACTACTACTGCTACTACTACTACTACTACTACTACTGCTGCTGCTGCTGCTGCTACTACTAATAATAATAATAATAAGAAGAAGAAGAAGAAGAAGAAGAAGAAGAAGAACTATGATAATAATCAAAAAAACCTTTTTGAGCCATAGACTTCCTTAGAAGATTCTACCAGAATGCATCCCGTTCTCACTTCTTTGGATTACACAACAGTGACTTTTTTACAGAACAAATTCGTCAGCCTTGCGTCCAACCCCCAACCTGGAGGACCAGGTCTCTGTATTTGTGTTCCCCAGTGACGGGGTTGCCCAGTTATACTCCAAGGCACCAAGTTCACATTTCATCGCCTTTTACGACTCGCAGAGCTACGGTGGAGATATTCCAATGGATATTTTCTATATCACTGAGACCATGGCTTCAGTTATTCCCACGGTTAGACTCTGGTTATTACGACAATCGAAACAATGGACTGAGATGGCGCAAAATGTTTCCTGGGGCAGGCATCGTTCTGGAAGAGAGGACATGCAGGATGTCACAGTTCATGATCCGACATCCAATGTAGGTCCGGCAAATTCACTGCCTTCTCAAGGTCACGAAGCCTGTCTCCTTCCGGCGTACAACCTAGAAGTTAAAGCTTTTTATCAGAGAAAACTATTATTAATATTAAGGTCATTAATTACTTCTGTGCTTCTAGCGCTGATATCTCCTGTACACACCGCGTCTTCACCTACGGTTTCTGTACACACTCTGATACGCAGTCACGTACGAGGAGTGTTTCTCCCGGTTATGTAAGTTACGTTTCAAAATATCACGTGGCAGAGCCGAGTGGGGTGAACTACAGCCCCGCAGCTTTTTAATAATCGCAGACCCAGCTCGCTTGTGACGTAGCAACCTCTCACTCGGGCTGGAAAATAGAACTATTGCAAGTAAGTTCCAAACGTCGAAGGGCAGTCACGAACATTCAGGCAAAGGATAGTGCTCGCAAGTAAAACGCATGCCGGGAAATTCACACGTCCAACACGTGACTGCCTGCCAATGCTGTTTCGAGGCGGATAAGAAGCAAAACTGCAGCTGATACAGGACTTAGACATGCATTCTGTTATACCTCAATGTCATCGTACTCTGGTTTCCGCCCAGGGAAATTGGTACGTGCAGGGAACGTGGCTATTCATGTAGTTTCCTGTGCCTAATTTTCCTCCATATCACCAAAAGTTACATTCTTTAACTAACGACGGACTGATCGTTCATATAGGGCTTATCTTCGCTAGTTAAAGGACGTTAAGAAAGAAAGGGTGGAAGGAAGAAGGGAAAGAACCGAAGAACAGAGAGAAAAAAAGACAAATGGGACAGAAGATAGAAGGAATTAAGGAAGAGAGGGCTGATTGAAATAAAGACCGAATGGAAGGAAGCAGGGAGGAAGATGATATCAAAACAAATAGAGAACAATGATATGAGATTCCGGGTTCTCGTGGAGGTGACTGTGAAGACTGCTGTTTTGTGATATGTGACGACGTGTAGTTTGGTAGGTATTTACCGACATTTGAGAGGAAGGTCTTAACTCAATATTAAGTGTAGAAAAATGGAAGCAGCACGTTCCTTCCGAAACGTCGGTAACACATCTACCAGACTATATTGTGTCACATCTCAGTAAACAGCAGTCCTCGGGAGATAATGAATTTGCGGATATGCATCTACTGGATAATTGTTACAGTGGCAGAAAGTCAGAAGGGCTCGTTTTCGAAATCAGGACAGTTGTTCTGCTCACTTCCCGTCACGTTCTGCCTCCACCCAGAGGCTGCTGCCTCCTGCCCAGGACTTCAGTCGCAGGAATGTCGAGGGAAGGGAAACTCGCACACTGCTCTGAGGAGTGTCATATCTCTATGGATGTTGTCAGCAGAGGGGTATGTGCGCTTCAGCGTTTCGACTCTCCAACCAGATAGAAGCCGTCATGGGGCTCGTTGAATGAAACATGGTGCCAATATACCACTCCTACTTAACACCCTTTTATTAATTTTTTCGCTCTATTTTATATCCGGTCTTAAAATCAATTTCTGACTTCAAGCGACCGTTATAAGCATTTGTTATTTATACTCGTATATTCCCATAATTGGATCGCCTCTGTGGTCTAGTGGTCAGAGTTCCATGCTACAGATCCAGAGTTCCCGGGTTCGATTCGCGGCGCTACCAGATTTTCTGAGAAGTAGTGGGTCTGTAACGGGGTCCACGCAGCCTCGTGAGGATAATTGAGGAGCTACTTGAATAGAAAAGTAAAAGCCCCAATGTAGAAAGCCGAGATTAACGGCCGTGGAGATAGTTGCGCTGACCACGCCACACCCTCTATCTTCTAAAGTTGGCACTAACTTCGCCGACAAGCGGCGGTCGCTCGGTCGGTATAGTTCGCTTGCGGACTAAATGCCACAGAGATTTTTATATTCCCATAATTGACAACATGCTACAGTGTCTTTTTGCGCAATTAATAATTCACGAGTTCGATTTTAGTTCCTGGCTGCAGTGACTGAAGAATTTTGTTTCTCTCTCTCTCTCTTTCTCTCAGTTAAATGCGACAGCCGGACAAAACAATTGTAAGGAGTCATACCTTCTGGCATATATGGTTTCCGAAGGTCCATCGCCAGCAATCATAATGCTCGCCATTGGAACCAGTCGAACCCAATCCACAATTTCATAACCCATTTCTCCAGGATTCCTTTCAATACCAGGCTTTCATATTTCACAAATAGTTCCCTGTCTTGAACTTTCCTTCCAGAATATTCCATAACCATGCTCGTATTTAAGGTTGAGAAAAATTCAGTTTATGAAGGGGGCGGCTTTATTGTTATTGTCACCAGTAGGACCAATTGAAGTACAGTTTGTGGAGACGTTAGCTGTGTATAGCACACTCATGATGTCACACGGCTCGTCTTCTGTTGAGTAGGCTGGAAGCGCCGGGAACTTGACTGCAATATTTTGCACTACGAATTTGGTTGGCTGGTTACTTAGCGCCAGTTTGTCTATTTGTTTAGTTTAGTTAATTTGCTTGATTTCATAGTACTGCCACTTGCATAGTGACCATCTGGTTAGTTTAGTTGTTTTAATTAGTTACTTACTCTGTTTTTGTGTAGTTACTTTGTTTACTGTAACAGTTAAGTAGCTAAGCAACTAGTTACTTAATCAATTAATTGGTTTCATAGTTTTGTAGTTAATATTGTGTGGTCAGTTTGTCAGTAGTTAATGAGTTAATATGCTCATTTATCTAGTTTAATAGTTAATGCAGTTTGTGGCCTGGACGATTGGTTTTTTCCGTAGGAGTTAGCCTAGTTGACTGGTTAGTTGGTCTGTTAATTGGTCTGATAGTTAATTTATTAAACTGAAAAAGCGCCCAAGGTCCAACAAAGGACGGTAGAGCCCATAGATGTTGATAAGTGACCGCTCGGTTTAAGGCATGAACTGTCCTCGCTCGCTCGAACGCTGGGATCATGTGTTCGAATCCCACTCGTGGCATGGATGTCTGTGTGTGTTTATTCTGCGTTCATGTTATCCTACGTGTAGATGGCAGCCTTACGCCGGGCCGATTCCCCTTTCCGAGGAGTCTTCCCCCCCCCCCCTTGGCACTACAGCCCCAGTGGGCCTAGGCCTACCTCCATGAACTTCTCCGTTCACTTCGGTTTTTCTAGATCTTACACATACGGTAGGACTCCTTGGGCGGGTTATCAGCTCGTCGCAAGGCCTCTACCTGTAGACAAACACAGAAAAACGCACACAAACATCCATGCCCTGAGTGGGACTCGAAACCACGATCTCGGCTTCCGAGCGAGCGAAGACAGTGCATGCCTTAGACCGCTCGGCTACCGTGACCGGCTTCCGAGGAGTCTTACCTGCTGTCTATAAGACTAAAAAGCTGCAAAGGCGGCCAGGGTGGATGGGTGGGTGACTGAGTTGATGGATGGATAATTTAGTTTCTTTTTAGGGTAGTCAATAGTTAATTTAGTTTAATTATCTAGTTTGTATTTATATTTGGTCAGTTAGTTTGTTAGTTTAATTAGTTTAATAGTTAATTAAGTGTTGTTGATTGATGAATGAATGCATTAAAGAACGAATTAGCTACCTAGCTACGAAATTAAGTTAGTTTTGTTAAAGGCTTGTAAGTGCCCTAACCAACATATTTGTGCACAGAGACGCAGCAGCAGGGCGAAGCTCGGGACCTGAGACGCCACTCATCGGTGAGTGATGTGCCCCTGGACAGCAATGTGCTGCGCAAAGTGGCCAGCCTCACCCTGGACAAGGCCACCATTGAACAGCGCGTGGCCAAGCCAAAGTTTGTGCCCGAGAAACTGGACTTCCAGATCTACGAGAAGTTTGAAGGTCTGTTTGAATTCCATAAGATTAAAGTAAAGCACGGAAGAAGTACGTGTATGGAGGTACACAGTTTACATGCCCATTATGACTCACCCATCAAATTACATACTTTATACGGCTGCCAGACTTGCTCCCTCGCGAGAATATGAGGAGCTTGTAACGTAGTAATCATCTTTCAGAGCTAATGTAGAATAAAATACCCTTGAATATTATAGTTCATTTTGGTCACTGAATGACTGTTGTGTGCAGTAAGAAATTATTAACCAAACAATTCATTGATGGGTGTTCATAATTGCAAGTACTGTAGAATTCTGGTAGGCTTCAATATACCTGAAATTGTAAAACATAATCTAAAATCTTTCTTCATCATAACTTTCAATTTTACAGAAGTCGCTTTTGACGTCTGTTGTCCTTTGTTTGTTCTTCGGCCTAACACAAGGCTGTTGTTGTTGTTGTTGTTGTTGTTGTGATTATCATAATCATCATCATCATCATCATCATCATCATCATCATTATTATTATTATTATTATTATTATTATTATGCTTTTTTCGTACTTTGTGTATGTTTGTTTAATTTCTGTCACTCTTGTTTACTTTGTAATTGGCCCGTGGGCTGTTGAGTGGGCAGCCAAGTAAACGACACGTGGACGAAATCGAATTATTATAGAAGAGATTCCTGTCTTTTTCAGAGATTTTTTTTTCCTTGGCACTACAGCCCCAGTGGGCCTAGGCCTACCTCCATGAACTTCTCCGTTTCAGAGATTTAGTTTGCTATTTAGGCCCTATGGTTCATAAATGGTCGTAATTCGGACAGAAAAGGAAATACGATTTGAGGTTTTCCCACCGGTGGTTATGAAGAGTACTGCTGCTCGGATTGTCACCTGCTTTCACGCTGTAATATTGCTCGGCTTATTCCACCCTGAAGATCTAGGCTATATGTTCCTCCGAAACATTAGCTGACTTTCGGTGGACTACACAGCATTTTATCCGAGAAGATAGTACTCATCAGAGAAAATTGTAGATTTTATACTTGTTGTAGAATTAATAGTATTGGATTGATTACTGTACCGAAAGTTGGGGCACGCGGTAGCGTAATTAGTCGAAGCACTATGCTACAAGCCGGAAGGTCGCGGATTAGAGTGCCGAGAGGTGAATTTTTCAATTTACCTAATCCTTCCAGCCCCACTATGGCCCTGAAGTCTACTCAGCCTCTAACAGAAATGAGTACCAGGAATCTTCCTGGGAGGTAAAAGGCTGCCGGCGCGTAAGGCTTGACAACCTTACCGCTATCTGTGAAATAATTGTCTTGAGAAAATGTGGGAGCTTCGACGTCTCACAACCCTATGGGCCTTCACTGCCTGTTATAAATAGTTAAATAGTTAGTTGTGTAATTATGCATACTTAACCCTGCTATGCCAGTCACGGTATCCGAGCGGTCTAAGGCATGCACTGTCTTCACTCGCTCGGAAGCCGTCATCGTGGGTTCGAATCCCGTACACGACATGAATGTTTTGTGTATGCATGCGTGAGGCCTTGCGACGAGCTGATCATTCGTCCAAGGAGTAAGAAAATGACCATGAATCTGAGATCAGCCCTATGTTCCACACTGGAAGCGAGAGGAGAAAAAGAAACCTGCTATAGCGGGTTAATTTTTAGTTAATTAGCTGCTTAATCAGTTACTTAGTTAACACTCGTATAGTATCGCTAAGACAGAAGGAAAGCGACTGTCGAACGAGCTTTTATGTCCCGTTGTTGTGGCAACAAAAATCTTTTAGCGTTGCATTTATAGAACGCGTACAATAGCCATTTGGAATCTCGTGAGAGGATTNGCGTGCCATCAGTCCCGACTCAGCCAGCAAGTTCGGCCTCTACTGGCTCAGGGGTATCTAGATGCTTCCCCCATCTATCAGAGGCGTTAGAGACTATTGTTGGGCGGGAAATGTCCTTATAATTTGGCTCAGAGGCCTCCTTGAGGCATGAGGTTCTTTTACGTGCCGTAAAGCTACGACACGGGACCCCGGAGGACTTCTTCCCTGAATTTTTCCGCCCTTAAAAATTCCACGACCTCCGCCGGGTTTGAACCCGTGTACCTTGAGTCATGAGGTGGGAACGTTACCCCTAGACTACGGAGGCCGCTCGTGAGAGGCTTACTCGCCAGCCACAAGGCCAAACCCTCGGTCCCCGTGTAGTTCCGTACTACAGAATATCACATTATTGCCGTAATAAACCCGTATTATGAAGTGTGTGATAAGAAAATGATAAGATGTTCACTCAGCCTGTAGTTCGTAGATTTTTAAGCCACCCACCACACTGTTTTTATGCAACGCAAGTGACAAGATATTGCGCGTGCTCCGGTTTCTGTGTTAGTTGAATTTCTGTCAGGATGAGAGAAGAGGACGAACTTAGAAATTGGAAAAATAGCAGAGTTGATATACAGCGCCAGGGGACAAAGGATCAGATGAATATATTCGTATTATTAATTGTTTATTTGATATTTCACTGGAGAATTTATAAGCCAGTTATTGAAGCTTCTTATATTATCTCGGCTACGAGGCCATTATTATACAGGACAAATTCTGCTGTTAACTTTGTTCTGCTAAATCGATGGAGCAAAATGCAAGAAAATCGAAGGCGATATCAACTTAGGCTGCACCGACCAGGTTTAACATCCAACTCCTTAATTTTGTTTTGTGTCTTGTACATGTCGTTTCCTGTTATTCTGAAGTGTGTGTACATATTGGTGATGTTCTTGACATAATCATTTCAGAGATACATTTAACGTCATTCATATTATCGTTTCTGAAAAAAGATAACATAAAGTTGCATGATTATTTAAAACGTGGGTTTACAATTTTTTGTAGTCGATATAGCGACTGGCTACGGGCCGGAAGACTAAGGGGTCGGAGTTCGAGTAGCGGTAGGATCAAGAATTTTCTCTTCTCCACAGGGTACAGACCGGCCCTGGGCCCCAACCAGCCTCCTATCCAATGGACACCGGGGGCTATTTCCCCGGGGGTTAAAACAGCAGGGGAGTGAAGGTGACCACTCACTTCCAACTATTGGCGAGGTCAAGAAAACGTGAACCTATACATCCACTCCCCTATACGACTTCGTGGCATAATGCTTAATTAGTTAAGCACAGGGAGGACTTTATCTATTTACAGGCTAACCTAATAATCACAAATACACTGTTATAAAGAGATGTGTTGATTTTCTGTGATATGATTTGTATCTGTGAGAATATTTTGTTTTGTTCGTGTTTTCGTTAAACGTCTTTTTAAAGCCGTGGGCTTGCTGAAGTTATTCGCTGAAAGAAATAGATCTCAGACATCAAGTTTTGAGTAGTATGTTTCATTATGCACGCGGCCATCTTGCTTAACAAACACACCTCGAATTCTTCCCGCCCTGACAACTCATATAATGAACTAATATTTTTATTAACATACTTTCCTTTCTAAGGGGGTAAAGACTGATTTATGTGCTCAAGAAACAGTCTCTGTATCTCCCCTCTCAACCTTTGAACTAATTCACTGGTTCTAACGGAACTTTAGGGTGTTGTACTTTTTCATGTTTTCTGTAATTACTAAGAGGGGAACACGGTAGCATAATTGGTTGAGGCACTGTGCTACAAGCCAGAAGGTAGCGGATTCGATTCCCGATGAGGCCACTGGATTTTTCAATTGACCTAATCCTTCCAGCCCCACAATGGTCCTGAGGTCGACTCATTTCTGTTAGGACGAGGGCACACCAAGGAAACTGGCAACCGCAATTTCCGAGAACTGTTATCAGCCTGAGTTGAACACATGTTACTGAAAGGAGCAGGAAAAATTGAGGAAACGGCAGTGGAATTTCCTCAATTTGCGCTGCTCCATTCAGTAACACGTGTTCAACTCAGGCTGATAACAGTTCTCGGAAATTGCGGTTGCCAGTTTATTTGATGTGCCCTCACCCTAACAGAAATGAGTACAAGGAATCTCCCTGGGGCTGAAAGGTGGCCGGCGCGTAAGGTTANATTTCCGAGAACTGTTATCAGCCTGAGTTGAACACATGTTACTGAAAGGAGCAGGAAAAATTGAGGAAACGGCAGTGGAATTTCCTCAATTTGCGCTGCTCCATTCAGTAACACGTGTTCAACTCAGGCTGATAACAGTTCTCGGAAATTGCGGTTGCCAGTTTATTTGATGTGCCCTCACCCTAACAGAAATGAGTACAAGGAATCTCCCTGGGGCTGAAAGGTGGCCGGCGCGTAAGGTTAACAACCTCACCGCCATCTGTGAGCCAATTGTCTAAAGAAAATGTGGGAGCCTCGACATCTCACAACCCTATGGGCCTCCACGGCCTGTTACAGGGATAGGTTTATCTTTTTCTTGCCCTACACAATATAACTGGACAACGCTGACCAGAGTATAGAGAATCCATAATTGTTTTCCTTACATTTCATTAAATATGAAGTCGATTCTAAAAGTAAATATCGAAAGGGGGCAGGTAAAAGTCTGAGAACATGTCACAACGCATTCCCAGCGTCATGAACTATACTCTGTACGCAACTTAGGTTTCGATACGTTCAGCGTGTTCCAACAGCCTCAGTGCAAACATGTTGGCTTTCATTTCGGCTTTCGCCGTTGACAAACAACGTGTTGTGATTCTTTCTCTTTTGGTCGAAATTGTTCGGAAATTCGAAGTTCTTCCTCATCGACCCCGACCCACGTGATGGTCGCCTTTCTGGACTGCCAAAAGGACATCGTTACGTGAATGCCTGTTTTCAAGACCTGAAAGAGGCGATGCTTACTTGTCTTGGTTGGCATCAGTAAGCTAGTGCACTGATGTAACAAGTGACTGGAGAAGCAGTGGGGGGTTAAGCCAGAAAAAGATAATGCTTCTTTGTTTATTTGCGTAATGTAGATTTGGTAACATTAACCAGATAGTGTTTATTGTGGGTACTAATTACCAAATTTCATCGAAATTCGTTCACTAGTTTCGCGGATGAAGCATGCAGAGAGGCGAA